TTAATCTATAAGAATATTTACCCTTTAAGGGATTCTTTTATCTTAAATTCTAAGTTAAACATATATATTTATAATAACCTTAATTAATTTACCGACTATTAAGTCCTTTAATAGCTTAAAGAAGCCTTTATAAGCGATATAAAGCTTTAAATTAAAGGCTACGAAAAGGTCTCTCTATAAATATAAATAAGGCTCTTTTAGCTAAAGTAAGTAGCTTTTATTCTAACCTTTTATATAAATATAGCTTTATTAGATAGCTTTTTAGAAAAGAGCTATAATTAAAACCCGGTTATAAAAGCTATATTAAAGAATAATAAGGTTATCTTCTATATAAGGCGTTATTTTAAGTAGCCTATTATCATATTTAATGAAATTTATTAAATTAAAAGCTTTTAATTTAATTTAACGTAATCTTAACCCTAAAAAACAGCTTTTATTAACCTTTAGCACTAATAGTTAAGCTACTTAAACGCAAATAGCCTTAAATATTTAGTCTAATAGACTATTAGATTAAAGATTTAAGGCCTTATATAAATTAATTATAAAGCCTATTTTAAAGCTAAGGCTAAAAGGGTTATCTCTTATAAAAGCTCTTAAATAATAAGCCTAAGACTCTTTTAAAGGATTTATATTAATATCTTTTAATTTAAGCCTAATTATAATAATAAGTTAATAGCTCTAATAGTTAAAGATAAATTCTTAGGCCTTTTAATAGTTTTTAAGCTTAAAAATACCACTTAAAATACCCTATTATTAGCCCTTTAATTATTTAAGGCTTAAATTTAAAGGTAGTATTAATTAGGTATCTATTAAGTCTATTAAGATAACGATAAAAGCCTTTAAACGGCCTATAAGGTTTAGATTAATTATAAAGGCATTATTAATAAGCTTATATTATCGTATACACCCGCTTAAAACAGCTCTATTAAAAGGTTTAAAGGTATTTTAAGGTTAAAAGCCCGTATAATACAATTAACAGTTAACCTTTTTACTAAGTTATAGCCTAAGATTTAAAAAGCTACTACCTACCTTTATAATCTATTACTATAATAAGGTATAAACTAAAAGACGCCCTTCTAATAGCTTTAATAATAGCTCTAATTAAATAATCGTAATATAAGTTATCTAAATAGGCCTAATATTACACATTTAATCGCGTATAGTTATAAGGTATATCTAATAACTTAAAAAGCCCTTTAAGGCATTTAAAAACAAGCTCTTAAGATAATAGCCTACGTAAAAATCAGCTACCTTATTAAATATAACTCTACTAATATCTTTCGTATATAAATTCCATTTAAATTAAAAGTTAAACGAGTTAAAAATATAATCTTTAATAAAAAAACCTTCTATTAAGGCTAAATTTATTAAATTTAACTATAAAAGCTATAATAGCTTAAATTTTTAACCTATATTAAGTCTAATAATAATAATAATACTAATAAAATACGGTTTATTATTGAAGTTAATACTTAAGGCCTTTAAGCTAGTTAAAAAGAAAGTTAATTATTTAAATTTAACACTTTTAAAGACTTTAAATTTAATATAAGCGGCCCTTATTAAGACCTTTTAACGCTAGCTTTATTAGAGCCTTTTAATTAATTTAAAGGGCCTTAACGGTTATAACGGATTTCTAATAAGGCTTTTAATAGCTTTTATAATAGCTTTTTAATTGAACGGCTTAAAAGGCTATATAAAAGAAGTTTACCACTTAAACCTTAATATTAGAAAGAGCTATAAAAATACCCTTATAGGCTTAAATTTAAAAAGGCTACTTAAGCTAAATATAATACTTTAATTAACCGAGAGACCTTTTAACCTATTTAACTTAATTAAATAAAACGGTTATAACGCTTATTACTATTAACTTAAGTGTTTAAATATAAATATAATAAATACGAATTTATTAATAAATTTAAGGCTTATTTATACGTATAAGGTAACCTTTAACCACTTAATAATAAGGAGATCTACGCTATAACCTTAGCTAAAAGGTTATTTTAAACCTTAATAGCTATTATAGCTAAATTTAACCTTAAAGCTAGGTAATTTAACGTGATAAGCGCCTTTATAAATAGCCTAATTAACGAAGAAGTTTACGTTAAATTTCCTAAAGGCTTTAAAAGGCCCGGTTAAATAATAAGGCTATTATAAGCCTTATACGAGCTATAAAGGTTAGCCTTATTATAGTAATAGTCTCTTAATAAAACCTTTAAGCTATTAGATTTAACACCTTATTTAAAAGACCCTTATATCTTTAATAGCCTAATATTAACGGTCTTTTTTTACGTTAATAATATCGTTTTTTTATACTATTAAGTAGCTTTTAAAGCTATTAATTAAATAATTTAAAAGCTTAAATTAACCTATAATATAAAGGACCTTAATAAGCTATAATAGTTTTTAGGTATTTAAGTTCTTTAAGATAAAGCTACTTATAAGCTTTAGCTATATTAGAATTTTTATATTAAAAAACTAGCTA